CCGTACTTCTTCCGCAATTTTTCATTATATTTATTTTCTGTTGTATCACATCACGAGTTATATTTTCTGTTATTATATATATCACAAGTTCATAACACACGGCTTGCACACGGCTGACACGACTTTTTCGGCTTTGCTGCTCGTTTACTTTTGCTGTTCGATTGGTTGAACTTCAATAAGATGCGGCAAAATGTATTTTGCGCCGGAAATGCGTCACCTAAGTAACATTTTTAACCAATAGTAATGAATTGCTGCGACTGCATACTGCGTATGAAATGGTACCTTTATCAGCCGATCCCGTGACACCCTGCTGCTTGCGTGCTGCCGGAAGGACCATCGAGCGACACTTGTGCTATGATCGTTACCCAAGAAGGACGCAGGATCCCGCATTAGCTGCCAAGTGCCGTACAAGGGTTCGTGACAAGACCTTAGCTGCCGCTCTTGGTGAGACGAACGTCGCCGAATTATATTGTCAGCCGCCGGTTTCATTGTTAGGCGCTGTTAGAGTTCCGTTGTCTGTGTAATTATATGTCCACGAGTAGAGTCAGTGTGCCGCGCCGTCCGCCCGGCATAAAGTAACGCGAATTAAGTAGAGTTATTGCGCTTGCCTTGTCACAGCTAAGTCATTTGTGCGTTATTTGAGTGTTGTTCCGTGTTTCTTTTGCGTTAATAATTTGTACGATTCGTTGCGTGTTAGCGTGCCGAGTTTTCGGCATGATTTCGAGAATATCGCGACACCATGTAGCGTGTGATCGGTTATTACGCCGTGCGAGGCGTATTCACGTACAGCGATCTTATATCTCGCGAATTGAAGTAGAGTTAGTACCAAAGAGCTCGTACACCAAAAGTTTTTTACCAAAACCAAGTTCTTCACCCAAGTTCTTTACCAAAACGCGATCCGATGAATAGAATTTGAACGATAAGCTATTGAAGTTCACAAATGGGCGCGCATGTCAAGTATTTGTATGGTATTTTACTTAATTTTTATATTTTTGTAGCAATGATCAAATTTTGTACATAAATTTAAAATTGTGTTAAATATTTTTGCATTTTTAAAACAAATTGCAAAATTGTTCAGCATCTTTGACATTTTTAATACAGTTATAAGTTATTAAAAAAATATTTTTAAAGCAATAATAAAAATTTTAAAATAATTGTAATATTGCTTATATAATTTTGATATTTGTTAAACTATTTTAATGTTCGTTAAACAATATTAACACTTTATAAAGAT